CATATTGACGAGAGATGTTGATTTGGATTGTGTAGTGGTTGTGTGTGGTATAGAAAAGCGAAGTGAGCTAGAAAGCAGTTTAAGGACTGAGGAAAAGGAGGTTATTATACCATTAAGTATCTTACTGCAAGGATGTGAGGCCAAGCGAAAGAACGTACGGTTGCTAAGTATGCTTCAAGTGATTTGAAGTTCCATCGCTTCTACGTAAGATGTCCTGCAAAATTATACTTTCGATACGTACCACGGTACAGGCCTAAGTACTACTTGGGCCTGTACCTGTACCGTGGTACCCACTTTAAACCCCCTGGTAACCCTACCCTCGGAGGGTAATAGTAGTACCTTGCGAAAGTAAGGTAACTAAAGGATTTAAGGTGGAAATTAAACTTTTAAGGCACCTTCGAAAGGTGAAGTAATACTTAAGCTTAAACCTTAGTATTTAAGCTTGTACCGTAGTATGTAATACTTTAACTTTACGAATCGTACTTATTTTCCTTCTTTACGTATAAATAAATATCGAAAGTATAATTTTGCAAAGGATCTTATTAGTTAAATTAATCAACTTACGTAGTATAAAGATTTGGCTTTGAAAAGTATCTTCGAGCTAGTATTTAGTTTATATAATAGAATCGACAAGGCTTCGAGCTATTAAGAAACCACCGCTCTATGATTTATGGGCTTAAATTGGGTCCGACATTTATTTATAAAGGAAGAGAGTACAGCTTAAGGAAGCTTTAAAAGTTTAAATCTTCACTTTAAACGTCTTAATCACCTTACCTTCAAGGTGTAACACTTACGCTTATAACGTTGCTACGATATAAGCGTAAGTATTACCCTTCGAAAGTAAAGTAAGCAAGAGATTTAAAGTGGAAACTAAACTTTTAAAGCACTTTCGAGAGGTACTGTAATACTACTACGTCGCAGGCGTAAGTACGGTAGTTTAGCCTCATGAATCGTACTTACTACGTCGCAGGCGTAAGTATTACCGGTACCCCTCGAGGGTAGGGAAACCAGGGGGTTTAAAGTGGAAACTAAACTTTTGAGGCACCCTCGAGGGGTAATTCTTAGGCCTGTACCGTGGTACTTAGGCCTGTACCGTGGTACTTTCCTTCCTTATAAATAAATATCGAAAGTATAATTTCGCAAGGGATCTTACTAAAGCTTAAACCAATCAACTTATAAAGATTTAGCTTTGAAAAGTATCTTTGAGCTAGTATTTAGTTTATATAATAGAATCGATAAGGCTTCGAGCTATTACTATAATAACCCATCGCTTTATAATTATAAGCTTAAACAGGGTCCGACATTTATTCATAAGGGAAGAGAGTATAGCTTAAGGATGCTTTTAAAGTCTAAATCTTTATTTTAAACGTTTTAGTTACTACCTTTAAGGTATAAATAACACTTGCGCCTATGACGTTGCTAAGTTACAAGCGTAAGTACTGTATTACCCTTCTGGGACGTAGTATTACCTTTCGAGAGTAAGGTAACCAAGGGGGTTAAAGTGGAAACTAAACTTTTCAGATACCTCGAGAGGTAATACTAAGGCTTGTACCGTGGTACTTAGGCTTGTACTGTAGTACGTAATAGTTTAGCCTCATGAATCGTACTTACCCACGGTACAGGCCTAAGTATTACCCCTCGAGGGTGCCTCAAAAGTCTAGTTTCCACTTTAAAACCCCTGTTTTCCGTACCCTCGAGGGGTAATACTTACGCCTGCGACGTAGTACTTTCCTTCCTTATAAGTAAATATCGAAAGCATAATTTCGCAAGGAATCTTATCAAGGCTTAAACCAATCAACTTAAAAAGATTCAGCCTTGAAAATTATCTTTAAGCCAGTATTGAATCGATACAATAGAGTCGATAGGGCTTCGAGCTATTAAGAAACCACCGCTCTATGATTTATGGGCTTAAACTGGGTCCGACATTTAGTAGTATTTAGGGGGGGGGGGAGAGTAGAGCGGTAGTTTCTGAATGACTCAAAGCCCTGTCAACTCAATTGCACACAATAAATAATAACCTAGAGATGCCGGTAGTTTTCAAGACTGGATTCTTACTACTACCCACGGTACAGGCGTAATTGTTACCCCTTGAGGGTGCCTCACAAGCTTAGTACGTACTTATACAACGTAGTAGTAAGTTGATTGGTTTAAGCCTTGGTAAGATCCCTTGCAAAATTATACTTTCCACCTGTATTCATGGAGTGGGGGTCTTTCAGGCTTTAGTTTCGCTCCAGCTCTTTCTAGATCATGCTTCTCTGGTTAGCTGGCTGTATACCGGGCCAAGTCCCACCCCTTTCTTTCCCTCATGATTCGGACATCTGGAAAAGCCGAGTCCCCGTCCCGGAATACGATGCAGGATAAGGGCAATGCTGATTGATTTCCACTGCCGTATTATGGCTTGTCTCACCGTGGCCACGTCAAAATTTATCCGAGGAAAGGTGCTCTGTCGTACAACAAACGACCAATTCTTGGACGGCATAATAATAAAAAAAGGTCCCGAGCCCCTGGAAATGTAACATCCTGGCGGGAGACGAGATGGAAGACTTTACTCTGTAAGCGATAAACGATTAATGCTCGTGGACCTTTGATAGCGATTCAAGATCTATTGCTAGAACTTATCTAGTGATAATACTAGGTCACAGGAGGAAGCAGTTCTGATGATGTGGTTAACCGATTGACTTGTATTATCTAGAACTAGGAATTGGGACGAGTAGTAGGAACCAGTACCAAGGCTGGCCCATGCAACCTGCTCTCCTTCCACTATACCTAGCAACAAGATCGTACCGTATTCCAAACTCACAAGTGTTCGCAAGATCGAATCCCTATCAAAACCATAAACCATCGACCGCAACCCCCTTCTCCGGGCGATCTTTTCCCAAAGTCCAAATTGCTGCTCTCCGTCGCTTCTTGCAAGCGAGATTCTCACAATCAAAACAAATCCCCGCGTCGTCAATAGCAGAACGTCTATTGCAATCTAAAGAGTTGCTATACTCGTATTTCCTTTCCCCATGAGACCGACCGTAAGTGCACTTATTATATCGTCTTTATATATTCTGCTCGGAGGGATTGATCGCAGATGCGCCGGCTGGTTTGTGAGGATGCTTAACGCTTATATGCAGTAAGGAGGTAAGGAGAGGTAGGTTGTGAATGAATATATTGGCCCGGGATTCTGTGCTTAGAGTCTCAAAGGGTATACATAGGTATGCTTAGGTATGCATAAAATTATTCCTTGAAAACGCATGATTCTTCGCTTTGGTTCGCTTGTACTTGATACCAAATCGGAAGTAAAAAAGGCATGCGCTAAGGGATTTGGAGAGGGTGTCGAGAGATATCGATTTTTCCTTTCCCTTGGATGGTTTTCCATATTATTTGTTATTTAATATTTCATTATTGCTGTTCTTGATTATGTCTGGACTTGAGAAAGAGAAATGAAGTTGGACTTTGATTATTGATAAGTACTTAAGCTCCTTTTTAGATAGCCCCGGTTTTTTTTTTTTTTCCCTTTTGATCCCGCGGTATCGCAGACTCCTTGTAAGCTTTTTAAAAGCATCTTAGAGAATTTGCCTCGAGGTGTATCTCGATAACTATCGAGTACGCGTGGCCTTACGAGCGGCCTCGGTCCGTATAAATATAAATATCGCTCTCGTTATTGTCGTAGAGCTATAAAGGCTCGCGTTCGTACAGTACTAGGTAATTGCTAATGCATAAAACCACCTTTCGCACCAAAACTAAGGGTCAACACTTCGAAAAAATTCAACATTAGCCGGTGTTCATTAATTTCATTTTCGGGGAGGGAGTTAATCTAAACTGTCAATCTTAAATCCGATTGTTTAATAGATCTAGATACAAAAGATGACGCTAAAGTCGCTTCTTTGTTAAAGACTTCTTTTAAAGTTAAGCGAAAGCTGAACTTCCATATTTCTGCTTCGATTGATTCTATTAAATCTTATTGTAGAATCAAATCGTCCTATACTTATAAATCTCGCGTCTCCAGACTTTCTCTACCGCAGGAAAGAAAATTGAAGGTTCGTAAAAGGCATCTCGTAAAGGCAAAGAATCGTAGCCTCCCTAAAGGATTTGGAAAGGGTATTGAGAGATATCTTTTTTTTTCCTCTATAAAAGGGATCTCTATCATTTGTAATTTGATGTTTCATTGTTGTTATTCTTGATCATGTCTGGACTTGAGAAAAGAGAATTTAAGTTGAAATTTGATTTTGATGAGTACTTCAGTGGCGGATTAATACGCTTACTTCTGGTGGTACGTTATCCTCTGTAACACAGATGTAACACAGAGAGAGGTGTGGGTGGCATTGGACTGCTTGATAGGACGGCTGAGGGCCCTGCCGTGCTAACTATGATGCCAGTGATAAGAGCGGCCAAGACCGCAGGAACTGGAGGAATCGGGATTGTCTGGTTGTTTATTGGCTGGGTGGTGGAGAACTGATAGGGCCTTGAGTAGAGAGATAAGCTCGAGAGTCGAGACAGGATGAAAGTCGAGTGCTGCAACATGAGACTTTGTGTTCGGAACGATATATATATGTGCTGTATATGCTGTGTAGAGATTATGATTCCCTGCTCGTAGCATCGGAGATACAAGAGAAGATAGACAGACTGACTACCTGCTAGCTCATGTACGGGCAAGACGAGGAGGTTCAAGGTCGTCAACAGCGCAAGACGTATCAAGCACGGAAGTAAGTAACGTCAAGTAGGTAAGCTTGACGTGGAGAGATAAACACCGGGTCAGGCTACACATTCCCGATCGAGAAGCGATAGCTGCTATCTCCCCTACTATTATATAAGTGGGTGCTTGCTCGCCTTCCGTAAGAGGAGGGGGTAAGATAAAGATAAAGCGCAGCTCCATTATTGACGAGTACCTAGCTATCAAACGACGTCGCCCTCGTCGTTGCTAATGATTTCTCACAAGCTGGTCTATAGAAAGATAAAGTCTTGGCCGGCCTTCCATGTCCTGACGACCCTACGCTAAGAGAGCGAACGACACAATGTCTTATCTCGAGCACATCAAAAGCTCCCATTCCCACTCTCTTTCCCACTCTCATCCACACTCAGGCCCTGGCATCCGCAAGCCCTCGGTCACTACCGTCCTCCCCAATGGCGATGTCCCGAATTTCGAGGGCCTCAGTGCAGACGAAGCTGCGCTCGTAGCTCTCGGCTATAAACAGGAGTTCAAGAGAGAGTTCTCGCTATGGACGAATTTTTGCGTGTCGTTTGCCGTGTTGGGGCTGCTGCCGAGTTTTGCCAGCACCCTGTACTATGGAATGGGATATGCCGGGACGGGAGGCATGGTTTGGGGGTGGTTGATCGGCTGGTTTTTCATCCAGTGCGTCGCTATGGGGATGGCAGAGTTGTGTTCGAGTATGCCGACCAGGTAGGGGTTTTTCAGATCCAGAGGATAGACCGCGCCGATGTGGATTGGAGCTGATGGGAACTCAGTGGCGGACTGTACTACGCAGCAGCGGTTCTTGCGCCCCCGGGTTATGGACCCTTTGCAGCGTGGATCATCGGGTGGTCGAACTGGATCGTCCAGATCACAGGAGCTCCCTCGGTGGACTACGCTCTCAGCGCCATGGTCCTGGCCGCAGCGTCCATCACGCACCCATCCTACGTGGCGCAAGACTACCAGGTCTTTCTGCTCACGGTCTTCGTGATGGTGATCCACAGCTGCATTTCCAGTATGCCAACCCTCTGGATCGCGCGCTTCAACAGCTACGGCTCGACCATGAACATCATCGCGCTGTTCGTCGTCATCATAATGATCCCAGCCTCGGTTACAGGCACAGATACGACGCCCAAATTCTTCCCGAGCAGCCAGGTCTGGAGTATCCAGAACGGTACGGACTGGCCGGACGGAGTTTCGGTGCTGATGTCGTTCATTGCCATAATCTGGACAATGTCCGGTTACGATGCTGCCTTCCACCTCTCGGAAGAATGCAGCAACGCGAACGTCGCCGCGCCCCGAGCCATCGTCATGACATCCGGTGTTGGCGGCCTCTTAGGTTGGACTCTTCAGCTCGTGGTGGCTTACACCGTCATCGACATCCCCGGGGTGATGGACAGCGACCTGGGCCAACCATGGGCGTCGTACCTCATCGAAGTGATGCCGCGCAACACTGCCCTGGCGATCCTGTCCATCACGATCGTCTGTGGCTTCTTCATGGGCCAGGGATGCATGATCGCGGCGTCCCGAGTCACCTTCGCTTACGCGCGCGACGACTGCTTCCCCTTTTCCTCGTGGATCAAGCAGGTCAACAGACACACCTACACGCCCGTTAACGCGGTGTGGTTCAACTGTGCCATCGGCTGCTGTCTCCTCCTTCTGATCTTCGGGGGTTCAGTGGCCATTGGCGCCATCTTCTCCGTGGGAGCCATCGCTGCTATGGTCGCTTTCACGATTCCCATCTTCATCCGCGTGTTCTTCGTCGGCGACAGGTTCCGTCGTGGACCATGGCACCTGGGCAAGTTCAGCAAGCCGATTGGTGGTTGTGCTTGTGCGTTCAACTTGGTGATGATGCCGATTCTGTGCTTTCCGAGTGTGAGGGGAAACGATTTGACGGCCGAGTTGATGAATTGGACGGCGGTTGTCTATGGGGGACCGTGAGTTTCCCTCCCGATTTCCTGACTCGGCGAGCCACGAGCCTGGTGAGACGAATGCTGACCGGATGAAGGATGTTTATCGTCACGGCCTGGTGGTTTATATCAGCACACAAGTGGTTCAAGGGCCCTGCCATCAATGTCGAGGTACGCATGCAGACATTCTTATGTCTTCTCTTTCCCCGCCATATATATATTAACATATTTCCAGCATCACATGCTCGATCGAGACCATGCCGTAGTCGAAAGCATCGACAGCGGCGATACTGGAGCGCCCAGCTTTCCAGGCAAGAAGTTGTAAGGGCACATGTGGGAATGTAGGGCGTGGGCATCCAAGGTCACATGGTTATACTAGGTAGCGGCCTTCCAGCATATAGCTCTCTCTGAGCTAGTATAGCTGAGCCTCTTCAGACTTCACGAATACAATTGGTACCACCATATATTCGTAATTCTTATTCAGTACCTGTGACACCGACACCACACAAATACAGCCGACCACAGAGATCAAGTAATTCATCTGTATCCCCTAGCCGTTCGCTTATCAGCCTAAGTGTTTATTCATCACTTCTTGGTGGGATAGGAAGGTGGGATACCAACATATATATATATATATATATATATCCATCTTCATTATGCCCTCACTGGCTCTCCCGACATACTAAAATTTCGAGAGCTTAAAGAAACTGGACCAAGATCATGCCGAGGACGAGGCCGAAGCCCATGAAGATGCAGGTGATCAGGTCCATGGTGGCGGAGTCAACAACAGCCTGTCTTTCTCTCCTCTTTTCAAGCTTCCAAAATAACAAAACGATCAGAACGGACAGTCCAAAAGCCAGCTTGATCCAGCAGGCAGGACTAGAGATTTCGCAAGTGATTTCTAGAGAGCAACGAAAGAAACATAACTTTTCATTTGAACTTCTGTATATATATATATATATATATATATATACAGCATTATGATTGCTATCAAACTAGTCAAGCAACCGTCATGGAGCGGGTAACGCTTTGCGGCATTTTTATACATACTACATACGTACGGACATGTTGTATGTAGCAGCACAGCACAGCATAGCCCGTGGGTACCCTCCCCCAGATTCTGATATTAATCCATCAACCTCAACCCCAGGAGCCGCACATCGCCGTATTGGATACAATCAGCGGCTGCGGCTGTGATGCCCGTTCTTGCTCCGTAAATGAGGAGCTGCATTGTGAAGTTTGGAGAAGTATGTACAGAGTAAGTAAAGCATGCAGGGAAAGGGGAAGGGAGAAGGGGGCGCATGATGAGGCATTTTTTGGGGGGTCTTGATCGCGAGGCGAGGCCGTGACATTCTTGTTTATATCTGGCTCCGTGCAAGCGAAAACACGACATAAATATTCATAGGAAGAGGTACAATATACAACTAATAAATTTCAAGTCGCACGAGAAAATGGTTGGGGTTCGCAGGCTTGCATGGGAATAGCAGGTCTAAGTAGAGTTTTGCTTTGAAACTGATACTCGTCTCAGGGTGAGCCATCCTCTTGTACTTATGAAATGTCACTCTCGACGTCAGATGCATTTGATGTTTATTAAGGGGTGAAGGGGGTAGGGTATTACAACAGAAGGCCGAGGAGACTGGTATGTATATAGGCAGCTTTTGCTTACTGCAAGGCAAAGGACAAGGAGAATTATTTAAAAAAGGGACTGAAGTCTGGAAGCTCAGCGTGTTCTTGATCCTCGTTTGATTTATATATACGGAATATATATAAGCACGACGAGTCTTGGAAAGGCAGCCGCTTAGCTTCTCAGGATAGTTGACTCGACAAAATAGTTCAAATACAGCAAAGTACAATCTGATAGAGTAGGGAGAATGGAATTCAAGGGAATTGAATAGAATAGAGCGTATATGGTTTGATATGGTTTGGTTTGATGTTGTAGGATTGAGAAGGATGGATGGGTAATATTTTTAGCTTACCTGAGCTCTTGGCATCCAACATCAGAGAAGGACAACGTCAGTCGTCTCTCAGCGTCGCACCACAGCACACATTCCTTACACAACCAGTGAGACCGCGGTATATATCACCAATGATCTCGGCCCTCCCGTTCCATCCATGATGACACCGCCGCCATCGCACCCGAATCTCCTCTCCCCGTCCGACTACGACGACGACGCATCCTCCATCCATAGCGAGCGCAGCGATCGGGACTCCGACACCGAAGACGATGAAGCATTAATAGGTGCGCGATCCAGCGCAGATATCCGCGCGCACGACCGCAGCCTACTGGTCGAAGAGGAAGAGCGTGACCGCTTGCTGGAAGAAAGTCGGAGGCGAGGAAGGAGAGGAAGCTCAATTGCAGAGACGATGCGGAATCCCTTGAAGAAACTGGGCGCTTGGGGACGAAGCTATGCGGAATTACCTGGAATTGACTCGGGGGAAGGAGAAATAATGGATCATGATGAGAAGAGGAAAGAGCGCAGGGAGAGGAGGAGTAGGAAGAAAGAGAAGTTGTTGGGGATGCCGCGAAGGGGGAGGATGGCGTGTTGATGCATGAGATGGAGGAGGGGGGGCTTAAGGAAGGGGGCAGTATCGGTGCGAGTAGCGAGACGGACGGAGGTGACGAGTCGGATCAGCAGGGCCTGATGGGGCAGATACGCCATGAGAAGGTGCAGAAGAGGAGGAGTTGGCGGAGGTGGTGCTTCATACATCTGTTGATTGCAGGGGGATTTTCTATTCTGGTGCTGCTGGCGTGGAAAATGTCGCTGCATCGGAAGGGAATGGTCCCGGTGCAAAAGATGCTGAGCAATGGGACGGCGCTATTTGCGCCTACGACTATTTTGATCAGTCTCGATGGGTTCCGGGCGGACTTTTTGAAGAGGGGGATCACGCCGACTTTGAACAAGCTTGTGGCGGAGGGCGTATCGCCTGTATATATGAACCCGAGTTTCCCGTCTGTCACGTTTCCGAACCATTACACGCTGGTTACGGGACTGTATCCTGAGTCGCATGGTGTGGTTGGGAATTCGTTCTGGGACGTGGAGCTGAAGGAGGAGTTCTTTTACACGGATTCGAATGCTATGCAGCCGAAGTGGTGGGGTGGAGAACCTCTGTGGGTGACGGCTGAGAACCAGGGGATTAGGACTGCTGTTCATATGTGGCCTGGGAGTGAGGCCCATATCATGGAAATTGAGCCTACGTTCCTGGATAAATATAATGGTGAAGAATCTCTGGAAAATAAGGTGAAGAGGATCTTGGAATTGCTGGACAAGCCAGGAGAGGAGAACGAGTTGGCAGAGGTCGCCAGCATGAGACCGCAGCTGATTGCTGCCTACGTCCCGAACGTCGATGTGAATGGGCATCGTTTCGGACCCAACAGCACAGAGATTATGGCAACAATCAAAGATGTCGATACCATGCTTGAACAAATATTTCAAGGCCTCGGAGCTAGAAACTTGACGGATATCGTCAATGTGGTTGTGGTCTCTGATCACGGAATGGCCTCCACCGATGTTACTCGTCTCATCCAGCTAGACGACATCATTGACATGAGCCTCATCGAGCACAGCGATGGCTGGCCACTCTTTGGCCTTCGTCCCAAGAACCCCGCCGATCTCCAGCCTCTCTACGATAAACTCTATGATCATTCGACAAAACAACCTGGCTTTGACGTCTATCTTCGGGACAAGAACATGCCCGAAAGATATCACTTCTCAAAGAACGAGCGTATCGCTCCTCTTTGGATAGTGCCGAAGACCGGATGGGCTATCACTACCAAAGAAGAGTTCAATGTCGCTGAAGGTATTGAAAAGGGCCTCGTATACGCACCACGAGGCCTCCACGGATATGACCACGAGCATCCCCTGATGCGAGCTATCTTTGTGGCGAGAGGTCCCGCCTTTCCTCACAAACCGAACAGTCGTGTTGAGCCTTTCCGTAAGTTCTGTCACTTCACTCTATAGATGGTTCGCTGACAACTGCACAGAAAACATCGAAGTCTACAACATCATTTGCGACTCTTTAAACATCATCCCCAGACCCAATAACGGCACTATCCGCCTTCCGCTTAAGCCAGTCGGCGTCCACAGCGAAGAATCTTCACCTGAATTACCCCATGACCCCCCCGACTGGACTATTCTCACCGCACCCGCCTCACAGTCTACACTAGTGCCCTCATCAACCTCCACTCCTTCCACAGTCTCGAAACCTGCCCCGGAACTTACCCCGGAACCTGCCCCGGAACCCGCCCCAGACGCCATCATCTCCATCTCTCCAATCGAGGTCTCTCCTCCCGCCGACTCCAAAGAAGCCTCTCCCGTTCTGATTGGCGTCGATCCGCCCGAGGCGCCGGTCCCCGAAAGACCGGTTATAGCCGACGAGAGTGAGATGACGCAGCATGGGAAGGACTTTTGGGAGTGGATCAAGGGAAAGCTGGACGGTGCCAAAGGCTGGGTTGGGGAACTGTTGGGGAGCGCGAAGGGCGCTGAGAAGGAGGGGCAGGAGGAGGTCAAGCAGACGGAGGTCAAGCAGGCGGAGGTCAAGCAGAATAAGACGGTTTGAAGGACTGAGATGAGACGGGACGTGTATGTATGTATGGATGTAGAGTTGGAGATGGATGTTACGAGGACGCACGAGGATGTATACTATGATGAGCTGGGCTCCGCTGCCCCGATTTGATTCGGCGTTTTTAGGGCAGCGGATTTGATTGAGATTTGGGATTTCCTAAGCTTTTTTTCTATCCCCCTCTCATTCCCTTTTCGTATAGCCGTATAGCCGTATAGCCGTATAGCGTATAGATAAACAGACAGACTCGGTTAAGTCCTTTTTATATCTATCCGTTTAGGCAGGAGCATGTAGGTAGGTAGGTAGATTTTTGCCGGGGGCAATATCTCGCTCGAACCAAGATTCACTTTTATTACATATACCTTTTTTTTTTTTTTTTTTTTTTCTTCGTTGGGCCCTCACTTACAAAACTCGTGCAAAAGTTGAGATTCCAGGATTTTTCATATGCTTTACCCATCTACCGGTACCTCATCTCGTTTGAGAATTTATTTGTTGAACGATATTCCTTTTTTTTTTTTCCTTTTTTTTTTTCTGATCTTATATCATCTTGAATAAATAATCATATCGTAAAACTTTCCTTTCTGAAACGCGACCTCGATGAGAAGTTGACCGCGAGTTGAGAGTCTGCTAGAGAGCTCTCGAATCTCTTGCCCTGTGCTTTCGATATCTATATCTAAGCGAGGCAGGCTGCTTTGTACCCCTTGATCTCTCTCTCTCTTTCTCTCGCTCTCTTTCTCTCTTGTTTGGTGATGTTGTTGTGGGTTTTCGTTTTGAACCACGGATACATGAATTCCTCATCTTTGATGTGATGCTCCGGGCCTAGGGGTAAGAGATGATACCTTGCTGATGTGTCTCTTAGCGAAGTCTCTTATCTTCCCGCCTGTCCCTTTCCCTCCCCTCCTCTCCTCTCCATTTCCCTCCCCTCCTTGGCCCTCCCTCCTCCTCATTTCGATTTCTTGCATGCATCCCACGACGAGTAGTTCGCATGCCACTTTGAGAAGTGTTCGATGATGGTGGGGTCGACATTGCGGTTCGCCTTGAAGAAGAGCGTCTCGTAGGGGTGGAGGTTGAAGCCGAAGTAGCCGGCGTTGAAGGTCGGGTCGGTGGGCGGGCAGATGTCGAGGTAGCTGAAGTTGGCAGAGGCTTTGTACGCGGCCATCAGGGTGTCGACTTGGTAGCCGGATTCGTACATCGCGGTGGTAAGGCCGGTTTCGCATTTGACTCCTGGGTGCAGGTTGGGCTGGTTAGTTGGTTTACTTTACTTTACTTTGCTTGTGGAGGGCAGTGAAATGTGGTGGTTGGAGGGAGGGGAGGGAAGGGAAGGGAAGGGAAGGGATGGGAAAACGAGGGAAGTTGAGTTTATTTACCTTCGACGTGGCCGTTGGCGCAGGTGTTTAGACATTTGTTGCGCATGACGGCTAGGCCGGTGGAGTCTGTCGCGAGGATCATAGATTGGACGTGAGGAGGGAATCCAGGCTGGCAGTTGTATGTCATTCCTGCCATCTGTTCGAACAACCAACATCACGATCAAATTAGCCTCTCTTCTCTTCCAAACTCGCATTTTCTTTTCTGGTCTCTGGATGCGTGCGTATCGCTGGATAGAACTTGCCTTGACCTTATCCGTTATCATGCCCATGTAGACATCTGACCAGCAAACGTCCACCCAGGCCGGCACGAAAGGACCCCTCACGCTCGCGTTCATCAAGATGAAGCGCTTGTAGTTGTGCACGTTCGATTCGTCGTTCTCGTTCAGCACCACGCCGTGCGTGCCCAGGTCGAAACAGCTGTTTTCCCGCTCCCGGTACTGCACGTTGGGGAGATGTGACGGGATCAGGTCCTTCAGGGTGTTGGCGCCGTTGAGCACGAAGATAAAGTCCGCGTGGGCGTGCAGGGCGTGGTCGATGAAGAACCGCGCGTTGACGAGCGCGTTGGGCGTCTCATGGTAGACGTAAATCACGAGCAGGTCGTTCTTCCCTTTGGGGAACGCGGATGAGAGTTTGGAGTCGATGGCGTTGCTTATGTCTCCGGCGTGGACGCCAGTCTGTCATTGTCACGATGGTCAGCGCTGATGCTCGTGTGATTCTGGTGATGGGTAGGTATAACATTACCAGTGCCATGTAGGTCCCAAGACAGAGGAAAAAGAAGAGCACATAGGCCAGGATTCTCAGAGTTTGCGGTCCTAGACCGAGATAGCTTCCTTTCTTCTGCATTATGATTGCTGTGGTTGAAGGTGTCGAGCGTTACCGGGGAGAAGTTATTGGTAACATGGAAACAGTTCGCGCATATTTCTTAGTCTAGATGGTTAGCGCTCATATCCCGTAGTGAGAGGAATTTCTCCCTTCGTTGACTGATTGATCCCTTACATGTTGCGAAACCGAAAAGAGGAATGCAGATGATGCCAGTGACTAGAAGGAAGGCAAGGAGCGCGCTTCCGTATGCAGACTAATGGAATTGATCTTGGGACATGTTTCTATGCTGGGTTAACTGAATTGTCCGTAGTTGTAAGTGGGTGGGGGTTGGCATTCTACATACAGCAGTTTCGGCGACTTTAGGAGAAAGCAGAATAAGCGATTTACCGGGAAACCCGAAAGATTGAAACGTGTCGTATATTAGAGTTTACAGCGACAGAGCGATGTGGAGTTTCAGAGCCTTAGCCGCTCTGCATCTGGTTACGATAGATTGCCGCGAATATCCCTGAAGCAATTTGCTCTGCTAAGTATTTAGTGAGTTATTTGAACTCTCTAAGCTAAAGCCATACTGTCCCGGGTCCCCCTTAATATGAATGTTGACTCGCTCGCTTGTCTCACCGCTGCCTATTCGTTACAAAACCGAAAGAGATTGCAACGCTTGAGTGAGTGGGCTAGCAAGTACGTAGTAGTAGTATATTTGGGCATAGTTTTCGGCCTGATTCTCGGCATGTATGCTATTGCTGGCCGCAAGAGTACCGCTGTACCGCCGGCCCGCCGGATGGAAAGAGTTTGAACCCTGATTGGATTTTAAGCATTGAAGGAGTCGGTGTTGGACCTGGCATTGGGAAATCATCCGTCAACTTACGTAGTAGGTGATCTCAGGGGCATTGAACATGGCTCAGTAAATGGTAAAGTTATCCAAGGTATCCTTGCCTACTGTAAACCACGCATAGCTTCGCCATACATATAGTACGTAGTAGGTACCCAACGACATACGCCTCGCCACGCCAACCGCGGGTAAAATAACCGTCTCTCTTCCTCAGTACGACAGGATACCGGTACCTGCACCAAAGAAGCACACAGATGACATCAACTTCCTCCGCATTTGCAGGAGCAAGCCCCACATGGTTCACGCGCGTCATGAACAGCCTGCGCCTATCCATCGTCAAGCTAGCCGACAAGATCGTCGATAACTGAGCTTTCTCCTCCTCATCCCCACTCAAAGCGTCATCCTGTTCTCCTAAAGATGCAGTCGAGTTACCCAGGCTTCCTAAAGTACCCGTGCGAGGTCTCGAACGGGGGTCCAACCTCAACATGTCCGAGCCCGACAAGAGGTAGTCAGATACGGCAGATACTGCTTCAAGCTTGGAAACACATGTTTGGCTATCCTCGTGATCCCAGGTTCCGCAAGATACCACGCGTCCGAAGACAGCCTGTGCAGACACGGGATTCGAGTGAGTGACCACGAAGTTGTTCCACCAGTCGTGGAAAGCTTCGAGGGCTGGCACAACTTCACTGGGGGCCCCGCGCTTCATGTAAGCCATATCGACTGTTGAATTCGTCTCGAGAATGAACCCTGAGGCTTTCAGAACATGGCCATCGGAGGTGAATTGCACATCTGCAACGCAGTCCCCGGATGCTGTGAAGTTTGGCTCGTGGTGGTGCAATCTTATGATTACCATACCAGAGATTGAGGACGGCCTGGTCCAATCTGGTGCCCATGGCGGCAGCTCGTATTGATTCGCGTCGAGCTGCTTTACACATATCACATCTAGACTTTGGGAGATGGAGATGATGTGTCGAGCTGTGTGGATGTAGACGTCTCGCATCGAAAGTGAATAATCGATCAGCCCAAACGTATGGGCCGAATCTGATACTCCTACTAAAGCAAAGACCTTATCTTTGGGGTCCGATGCCTTCTTGCTCTTGTGGGAGAGGAGGAGCTCGAGAAGAGGTGGCGCCGAGAGCTGCGGCGTGAAGCGAGAAAGCTGTGGCGAGAAGCAAGAAAGCTGTAGGTTCCGAGGGCCCCCAAAAGTAATGGTCCGGATGTAGCATGGATCTTTGTAGAACAATGATTCGAGACGAGCACTGGCTCCCTTCAGAAGAGCGCAGACTCGGTCCAAGTCTATCCACGGAATCTCCTCGTCGCCACAGTACATGGTTGCTTCCTTGCGCTGCTCACTCCCTGGATCACCCAAATTCTCCACCAATATTGCCTGCGACACAGTGGGACCGGGGCTTCCAGGTCTTTCCTCCTTCTCGGATCCCCTACCAGAACTCTGGTTTCTTCTGTTGTTGAACAGAGGTCCATGTCACGTGACAGCTGGATCGCCTCTCGATTTTTTTTGGCTCTCCATGTCCAGAGAGACAGCCACGCTGTAAGCCTGCTGATAAATAGCCCTCATACTGGTCGTTTGCAGATTCCTTTCCGAGATGATCTCTTGATCGATGCATATAGCATCGATCCACATCGCAACATCATCCTCGCCGGGCTGCGGTCGGAGTCGCTGAAGCGCGTGCTTCAAGTTGGGGATAACGAGGACATGGTCAAAATCTACCAGTATCGGTTGAAAAAATATACGGTCCCCCCATGCGTACGAAAGAGCGACGTAGGGTGGTGTTTTACCCAAGGTGTTGTGGAATAGAGTGCACCGGATCGGCCACGATGAGTCGGGAGAGGCACAGAGGCGGACGAGTCGGAATGAACCTCTGGCGCTGCTCAAGGGTATATAGCTGTATTTCCGACAGGCGATCGGATTTTTCGCCTCGGACTTTTGTCTAGAGATGGGCTTCATCTTCTCGAGTGTCGAGACAAGAGATGACCAAGAGCTATAAATGTCTGATTACTAGCTCCGAGATGTTCAATGATGATCACTATTCGATCGTGGCCCGAGGAAGCAATAATCAAGAACCATGGCTTTTAGAGACAGTGGAGGTGGCAGGAGCTCTTGAGCTCTGACAGAGGTCTGCCTTGAATACCTTGTTCTCTTTTTATACCGTCAAGTCAGTCGGTCAGCACACATGATTTCAAAGGTATCTGCTTATTTTGGACGACACCTCTTCGTTAAAACCCCCCGTCCTTGATCTATGTTTATAATATTCATGGCAGCTCTCTATTCTCCGTAACTCAACCCGTGAAAATTGCCAGCCTGCTCTTACTTTCAAAATGTCAAGCTGTCTTGTCCACAATGGTTTAGTTCCTCCTCTCTGTTCATCGACCGCGAACCCCTCGTATTGATGGTACCAATAGTTGCGATAGCTATTCAGGTCATCTTGAAAAGATTTTCTCCTGTTCTGTCATTCCCACCCACGGACATTTAGTTGTGTGCCAACTACTGACAACAGCTACCCAGGAAAAAGAATTCAATTGGAACATCTCACACCTGACACATTCCAAAGGTGTTGTCTTGAGGTGCCCTAACATCACAATTTTCTTATTCGAGATCGGCTGAGGGAATTTCAAACACTCGCATCTTGACCTCTCCAATACAAGCTTTTTTCACACCTGGCGTGTTATATAGTCTACAGGGTGCTGCGGGTTTCTGTACAGAAACCTGATCGGGAAGACCCATGAATTCGAACAACATAAATCCAAAAGATGCCTGCCTTCTCACCTTCCGCTTCACGTTGCTGAACCTGGCATGATACTCCAGCTGGGAGAGCTCCGCCCGTATTAGAATAACCAAGAACACCGCATCAGTATCGACTTCCATGCTGGCAACGGATATACGTCTTTGCAATGCCGATGGCTGGATACCCGACCCGGTCTACGCTTCCCGAGCTGGGGGTTGATTTAAAGCCAAGGATCTAGAATGTATGAAGTGCAGCGAGGAGATGAAAGATGGCTAGCGAGAAACTTTTGAAGGAAGACGGCAACGGATTGGATGGAGGGAACCTACACTCAGAAGAGAAGATCCAGGATGGTGGATCATGTCATCCTTCGCGGAGAGACTTCTCGGTCCGCCCTCCAAGATGGCAATGCTGATGAACGGACGGTCGATGATTGGGTGAGCTGGTCACGGAGACATCCTTCGTCCATTTAGATAGATGGATTCGACATTTGGGCAGAGAGCACTGCACGGACTTGTGATTGACCAGTTTCCCGGAGTCTAAAGCTCCCTCTGCAACAGAATATGGTCTCGATGCATTGAATTCTGGGGTTGCGGGCTATGACTTAAATTAATTTTGCCATAATGTGCAGTAAGTGAAAGTGTTTTTTTTAACCGAATCAGGCGCTAGGCTCGTTACCAGTATCCCTTAGTGGAAAACTCGTGGTAAATCATTAGATAACATTCTGTGGGAAAAGCCTCTAGGTAGCTATGGAGAAAACCGATGTAGATAGAGACTGACTGCTATACAATATCAAGGCTGCTGCGGCTGCTCTCAGACGACTAGGACGTCTAATAGCAACACGTTGGTTCCTGACATGCCAAAACCAAAGCAATTGCCTACAAACATTCAAACACCTAGAGGTATGAGGTCAGCTCCCACTATTACATCAACTTCCGGTTCTTCAACGATGAGCCGTGCGACTGGTATAAGTCAAGTCAGAAAAAAAGAATAGATGTGGAAGAATGATGCGAAAGGATATCTGCGAATGCCCTCGGACGGAATCGAACCGGCAACCTCGTCATTTGTACCACATGACCCAAACCTTGGTATATCAATGTTACTAGTGACGCGCTCTACCATTGAGCTACGAGGGCTCGAATCGCTTGATTGATGACTGTTCAGGCATTTGACGGTACTATAAACATTAATTTTTTTTGACCGCCGGCAATCCGTGCACTAGCGAACGTTACAACCCAAATCTTTGGTTAATAAGCTGCCAGTCGTTCGATCCATAAAGCCTACGGTCTCAAGATCTTGCGCGAGTGTATGCAAGCAGTTCTTTTGATGCATTTAAAATCTTGCAGTTGAAGATGGCAATTATGTTCTAGCCATTGGTTGATTGCTCCGAGGCCGGTTTCTTCTGAGGATTACAAACAAGAAGGGCACAGTTTGACCATCTATGCGTAGTGATTGAAGGGCAGAGTAGAACCACATATTATCATTAGACCGATCTGAAAGATTACTTCTAGAAGCCGACAAAGTACCGGTGCAATCCTATATTCCGCAATCGATCCAATGTGTTTTGATTACTACATGATTTGATACCACACCCCCACTTCAGACCACGTGATCATTCAATGTTCAGAAACGCGTCGTGTCAGGGCGCGAGGCTGCACGTTACTAATTCCTCAACACCATCAACCGACTCAAGAGCTCACCACAACCATGGGCTCCGAATCGCCCCGAGGCCGCGCGCGTACTCGTTCGCCATACTCAGATACATCCAAAGGCAGAGGACAGTCTCGATCTGTATCCAGACCCCGCCACTCACTCACTCCTCGATCCGTTAGCAGAAGCCCTCGTCGCAATAGCAGATACAGGAGTGAGAGTCGCAGCGCCAGTCGTGGCAGAACCCCCAGCCCGGTCAGGAGTACGAAGGTACCTAGGATTCAAAAGCCCGTCTAGAGCAGACATCTGCTAACAACTCTAGGTTGTCATCGAAAAGCTTACGAAGAACGTCAATGAGAGCCATTTGCGAGAGATCTTTGGCACATTCGGTCAGATTCGCGATTTGGACATGCCCATGAACAGATCATGTATGACCCTTCGATACTTCCAACAGCGCAACGCTAATCTTCCTAGTTAACACAAACCGGGGAACCGCATATATCCTCTACACTTCCGAAGCCGACGCCGAAGCTGCGATTGCCCACATGCACGAGTCCCAAATCGATGGAGCCGTTATCAATGTCTCGATTGTCCTTCCTCGTCGCAAATTCTCTCCATCCCCACCTCTCGCGAGACGTACCGTCAATCTCGACCCCCGAGCACCTATAGCTGCAGCTCCAAGCTTTCGTCCTCCTCCACAAGTCAGACGTCGTTCACCACTCCCACCTTACGGTAGGAATCAGAGGAGCTTTGATACATACCGGCCACGATCACTCTCGCGATCTCGCTCACCGAGGCGTCATCGTACACGCTCGAGATCGGTTTCTTCGCGGTCCCGTTCCCCACCTAGAAGAGGAGGCGAGGGTGGAGGGGCAGGAGGAGGAAGATGGAGAGAAAGTCCAACCCGAAATGGCAGTAGAAAAAAGAGAAGCCCAAGTTACTCTAGCTACAGCAGTTATGAAGACAGGAGGAGCAGGAGCAGGAGCCGTGCCCGCGGAGGCGGAGGAGGCGGAGGTCGTGGCAGACGTTGATGTACGAACAATTGATCTTGCAGCGTTGGAGTTTGGCACAATAAGGAATCACTGTATTACTGATGTTTAGAAGATACCAATGGTGGCCTTACTCTTCCTGCCATGTCCAGATGTCTGTCCCACCAAACCATGGCCGATGAGTATTCGTCAGCTGATAGGTATGTATGTGTATGTGCTCTGAAGCTCTGGGTTTCTCCAAACCACCTGCTTGGCTTTTGGCATGAGTGACTTTCTCGATTCCTTACAGCCCAGTTTCGAGGCTCGGTAAGTCATAGCATAAGGTGGTAGTAATTACTCTATTTAGCTCCTGCTTCAATTGGCCTGGCTTTTTTGGTTGTAAAATCTTTCGGGAAGGTGCGACGGGTGAAGACATAGGACCAACTACTTACACATTTTACCCCCAGCTTCCGTCTACAACCACTACAATACCACTTCCGCCGCCTCTTACCAGCTCTCACCTACCATCACCTATCCTCTTCCGTATCATACATCGAATACCAGCAGGAATTATCTCTATCATTACCTTTCTGTGGGCAGGGTGCGTGCTACCCTCTGTTTCTCACCACGACAGAAAGATGCTGATAGCAGCAGGCTCGTCTTTTACAGCAAATCTTATATAGTAGCCTCTCAACACACCACCCTGAAGGACCGCCAGGATGGGATTTTCAAACAAGGCCGAAAACAAGCCTGAGGAAGCCATTGCCTACTCCTCCACTGCGAAGTCGGATGGTTCGGAGATGCCGAAGACGACTGCAAAGGACGTGAGGCTGGAACCTGGCCACGAGGATGTGTGCCAGGATTTCGAGCATAACCCATTCACTGATCCGCCTCAGCTGGCACAGGCAAGCAATACCAAAAGAACGGGTCCGTCTGGAGGGCTTCGAGTTACCGAAAACGAGAGGTCGGGAAAGTCGGGCATATTGAAAAGAACAAAGCAGAGAAAGTCGCAAAGATCAATCGACGCTGAGGAGGATTGCTGCGATAGCGACCATGGTCTTTTGTACCTGCCGGTCGACCAAGAGAAGTCAAAGAAGGCTGTCAAGTCGCAGGATTCTGCTCATCACAAATCAGATTGCTGTGATAGCAACCATGGCCCCTTCTTGCTGCCGGTCGACCTAGAGAAGTCGAAGGAGGCTATCAAACCGCTTGATTCTGCTCATCATAAATTGGATGGTCCTGGTAGCGACCATGGTCCCTTGCCACTGCCAGTCGATCCAAAGGAGTCGAAGGAGGCTATCAAACCACAAGATTCTGCTCATCATAAAGTAGATGGCCCTGATAGCGACCATGGTCACTTGCTGCTGCCAGTCGATCCAAAGGAGTCGAAGGAGGATGCCAAGTCCCAGATTTCAAGTGTCCCAGACAAGCTGGTGGCATCTAGCAAACCGGCGAAGCGCGAGAAACAACACAAGTCACGTAAGTGGATCGTTATTCGCTGTATAGCTTATTCTGATATGATCACACAGTCAAGCAAAAATTGAAGGAGTCAAGGGAGGCAAAGAAGGCAAGGAAGGAAAGCGATCCGGCCAATAAGAGCCCCGTGATGAAGAGGACCAGCCGGAATATGTTAGGATTAGGCTCAAATTCAGAGGTTCCGTACGTACTGGGAAAGCTCTTCCATTTCATGTTTGACCGAGGATCTCGAGTTGCATTTCTTTCCCTTTTCTCAAACCATTATCGTCATAAAAGGTGCTGACTTTACCATTATGCAGAGTGCAGACTCCTGCGCAAGCTTTCCCCAGAGGACTTCAGATCATGGCAGAAGATACTGACACTCTGTCTGGGGGCTTCTCTTTACCCAAGGAATTTATGGCGTTCGGTATCACGAAAGACATTTGGGCGGAGTTTAACTCGAAGATGACGGAATCGCTAACAACCAAGAGAATCGCATACGCGGTTGAGGATATTCTCGATGTATGCGCGACATGGGATGTGAGATTTTTCCGCCCTAAGGGCTTCATCATTCGACTCGATATGCCAGGCGAAGAGAAGTATGGGCTAGACTTGCTGGACATCTACCATTCCAAGATAGGTGCTATACACACCGACAATGTTACGGCGTAGGTAACGGGGAAGCCCATTATATTCTCTTTGTCATTTTCCCCAGGCATATAGGGGCACCCCTTGTCCGCTTCCTGAAATGGTCTTGAACGGGCAATTGCTGAGCCCAGTGTCCTACAGTATGGCACCGAAAAAGGACGAACATGTTGGAGCCATCAAGCACAACCGTCACATCCAAGAGAAAACGAAGGACAAGAAACACTTGGAAACGGTCCGCGAGAAGGCATTTCACAGCACTCGTCTGATGATCGATCCAGTCGTGGTCCTCAAGGATTCCACGTTGGCTGACGAGCGTGGATGGACAAAGTGGATCCAGGCTTGCAAGGAAGCTCGCAACTTTGCTGAGGAGGCTCCTCCAAAACGAAAGGATAATAAGCCATGGCGTGGCTACTATCCCGTGAGAATGGATCGCTGGCCACCCTCGAAACACCTTTATTATGATCGATTCCGGGGCTCTGCGCTTACCGGCGGCACCAAGAAAATCCCCTTCACTCACTTTGTACCAGATCACGACTCGGTAAGTGAATGCCCTTCTTTCACTTGGTATTGTTTGTGTCTAATACAAAAACTATCTAGATGGACCAAAGAGGTGCGCCACTTACAGACTCAGTCATCCCATGTGATGAGGTCGAATGTTACATCATTCGCTGAAGGGCATCAAAATTAGAGAGCTGTCTGTACCTGAGGTCTTCTTCCGTCCTGTTTCTCCTTTGTTTTGAGTGTGTACAGCTTTGGTGAAGCTTGTCAAAGAGACTGTCGATTGAATAGAGGGCGAGATCATTCGCTCCAAAGACTGTTTGTGCACGTGTTTAAGAGGATTCAATAATCAGAATGTCAACAGTTTTCTTTGCACTTAGTTTTCTCTTGGATCTTGAAGCAGGCGAATATTTTCCCACTTAAAAGTGCTGGCAGGTAGTCCCTGTTAATTCTAGACTCTGGCTACCTACTCTACACGCCTCGAACCATCCGATGACTATCATTCCATCCATTTGTCTTAACATACAGCCAAATGCTAAAAGACAAAATGAAATCCTCATTTTTCAAATCCCAATATCAACTAATGAATGGTCCTCCTGTCTCACATTCGTTTGTTGCCCCATTCCTTTCCTCAAAATTTGTTGAGATCAGCCTACCTTTCATAGCACCAAACACGAAGTAGCTTCTTTTTCGCATACAGTACTCGCGCTCAGTACATCTACAGGCGAAGCGAGAGCCTCGGACAGAGAGAGACCAAGGCCCCGGAACCAAAAGGGGGATAGTCTATAAGGATATTCAACTCCGCTATGATACATCGGTAGAAATTTATTGCTGCGAAGAATACAACTGTGGCTAGCATTTAAACGTGGAGGCGAGGTCTGGTGTCTAGGGGAGGCTAGCTGCGGGTGTATCCAGGCGGATTTCCGAGTAGTGGGGTAAACAGACAGCATGGGACGTACATACCGGTACGTGCTTGGGGTCTGCGTACTAGAATGTCTAGGGTATCGTGGCGATGATGAGGGCGATATATATGGGATTGTCTCTCTCAATTCTTGCCCGAAGGGGGGCGGGAGCTGGTTTCTCTCTGATTAGTACTTCGTCGGTCGACTGCTCCAGTTTCCCTACCACTCACATTCGCCTCCAACAGAATCAGATTAGCCAATCTCCTTACCACCGCCGCGATGAAAAGATACGCCATGGTCGGCCTGGGAGGCCGGAGTAGCTTCTACTGGTCAGGTATGCGAGCGGCGCCGTCTTGACGCCAGCCTGACGGCGTACGCGCCCTGGGAGGACTTCCGGGTCGTTTTCAATGAGACCGGGGGGAGATTGGAGCTCGATGTTGTGGAGCAGAGCTATGTCAACGGCGGCGGCGGGCCGGGAGCTGACGGGGCTATGGAGAGATGCACGGTTACGCTGCGGCCGCTGTTCGAGAAGCCGAGGGAGGCTGAGATTCGGAGTGGGTTGGGGGGCCATTTTGGTGAATATCCGGTGCTGTTGCACGACTTGTTTGGTGGCGAGGATATGGATGAGGTTCGGTTTGGGAGGGCAGCGGATCATATTGATGGCGCGAGAAGTATCTTGACGGGCATTGCGGCAAATTCGTCTCTGCGGACCGAGGGTGTAGTTGGGTGAAATATGTGCTGGATCTGAAATACTAGATATGTATGGACTGCAGGGAGGAGGATATGGCCAGTGAGAAGAAGCTCGGCAGAGTTCCTTCCAGTTCGGGCAAGGACCTCGACTAGACTACGAGATCTTCTTGTCTCATTTTCTCCATATCCCCTCAGATGATTACGAAAAGTCGACCACATTCAGGATAAATCGATCATAAGAAAGACTGAGATCCACACAAGCACGAGTCTCTAAAAGGTGCAAGTCCTGCACGTGAAACACGTGATAAGCCTAGCGCGGTGCCCTTTTTAAAAAAAAAATCCGAAATTTAGCTTCCATGCAGTAGACGACAATCATCACCACCAACCACGACAGCCAAAAAATATTTCACTCCCATCTTGAAAAAAAAAAGGGAAAAAAGTCCTGAAAATACATAAAACCAAACCCAACAGGATACCAAACAGTGTGCAGATTTCACTTTACACTTGCCATGGCACCCCAAATCAAATCTCAGGAAGCAGCCTTCCGCCAATCACGTCAGCAGCGGCCCGCGGCTCCCAAGACCAGAGTGCCCGAAGCCAGAAACACGGCGACGGGCAACAAGGTCTCGAAGAACAAGTCCCGGAACGAGAGGAGGAAGGCGGCGAGGAAGACGGCTGCGCTGTTGAAGGCGCAGGGGCTGGCGACGGGGGGCAAGAAGAGCGAGGAGGAGAAGGAAAGTGCGAGAAAAGAGAATGAGGATGAGAAGCTGGTGGAGGACAGCGACGAGGAGATTGAAGGTTGATCAGCGCTGGCGGTGGGAATGGGTGCGTACGGAGGAGGGAGCGCTTGGGACGCTGAGGGGGAGCAAAAGATGCAGCCCACTCGGGTGCGACGTTTTCAGATGTGGAATTGAGCGCTCTGACTCAAAAGCGTTGAAGCAGATACAGATTTGCGGGTGTCTGTCTTTTTCTGGATTTGAGAGGATTGAGAGGTTAGTCTTCGAGTCTGTCTGCTTGGGTTGTTGCTGAGGGGAGTCACGTCTAACGTCAGATTCAGACGTCATGACGGATTTCACAATTGAGGGTATTAGCTGCGAATATCAAATAAGGCCTTGGCAATACTTGATTTGAACTATTGAGATCAGTGGCTTGCGACATGGCTGAATCACAGATTATCTCCCTGACAAAGATCCCGATGAGAGCTTTCCCGAGGCTTTTTCTGGCTTGGTATTGCGGCGAGTCGAAAGATTCTATCTGGACTAATGAGCCTGACTCACCAGAAATCAGCAGGTCGAAGAACATTAGGATTTAAATCACCGTGATTGTGAGCAATGCCTGGTTGAGGCTCTGCTGCAGATTGTGGTGGCGCTGCATCGGTGAGGCGATTGGGAGTGCATGCAGGCTGGCTGCGCCCTGCAGCAGCTGAACTCCATAAATCATCACGAGACCCCAGGACTGGAGGAGTCTATATCAGTCATACCACCTGATTTATCGCTCAGAACAATCAAACGATGTCGTTCGGAACGTCGGTTGGCGACATCATCGTCCTCACCCAGCTCGCGCACAAGAATTATCGCAATTGCAAGCAGGCCGGCGGCGAGTACTTGGAGATCGCCAGCGAGGTGCGAAGTCTCCATAGCGTCTTGCGAACCGTCCGAGATGAAGCAAAGCGCAGAGACTCCCTGATATTCAATTCCGGGCCGGAGATAACGAAGGAGCTCACCAATATCGCTGATGGGTGCAAGGGAGTCCTGGAAGGCATCGATGCGCTTCTCACCAAGTATCGTGGACTAGCACCTGGGAATATAGAGTTCGGCAAAGCAGCCAAGCTGTGGCAGCGGTGGAAATTTGGAACCGAGATTGAGGATCTAGGCAAGTTGCGATGGAAGATCATCACCTACACTTCTTCACTTGCGGTGTTGGTCGACTCGATTCATATGAAAGCTACTGAGCGTGTCGGGGACACTGCAGGACGTATCGAAAGCCAGGTGGGAACTGGATTTGCAGAGGTGCAAAACCGCCTGGAAGGGTTTGAAGACATGAGGAAAGCGATATTATTCATTGCGACTAGAGCTCGTGCATCAGAGCGTTTCCAGGCAATGGAATCAGTCTTATCCCTGTCAACGTATGCGGGTGATGACAAGGAGGTTTGGCGGCAGTTCAGGTCGCAGCTTGTCTCCTTGGGCTTCCGGAGCGATTCGCTTGATCGTCATATGGAGGTTCTGAAAGCTTACATGATGAAGCTGGACCAGACTGGGGTTTTGGACGAGGCTGTCAAGCAAAACGCTTCGGAGGCGCAATCTTGGTGCGGTAATGCATCCTTTCGGACAACAAATCTATCTTTACTTGGAACTGGTGAGCTGGAAGAGCTGGTTGACGGAGATGACATTGCCCTACTGGACAGCCAGCCAGCAGCAATGACCTCTGGACTTCCTCCCGCTAGGATAGAATCGGTCATGGATGCAACTCATACTGCATCGATATCACCAGTAATCCCAGAGCCATCCACGCGAAAAAGTCGGCGAATACCCCGTATCAAAGTCGACCAGCCCGTTGTTGCTGCACCAGAGCCCAGTGACGAACAAACTCAGGATCCTACCACCCCTCAAGTCTCCCAGGTAAATCATCCCATTTCTTGTCGTGGTACCAAAATCATCTAACAAACCCACAGACTAGATCACCTGTCCACACTACACCAACCGAGGCTGGCGGGGCTCAAATCTCAAGCTCGGGTGAAGGTCTCGGAGCTGAAATCGATTCTGGTGTCGATTTTGCAAACCCCCGAAAACTACATCCGTATGCTGAGTCGTACCACTCTGTATCTGAGGCTGCCACGAGCCAGTCTACTTTGATTAGAGAAGCATCTGATCTTATGCAACCAGCTTCAGTACAGAAGGAATCGAGGCCTCCGAACTCTGATCGACCGTCAAGTTGGGCTGGGCCTGAAAGAGGAAAAAACAAAGTGTCAGCAATGTATCGATACCAGAAACAGACGTCGAAGTCAGCTGGGGACTCCGATATGGATTCAGACGATACAATTGGGAGGCCAAGAAAAGTATCGACAGCGCGCAGAGAAGCTGATCGTCGCCCAGATGGAGGCAAAAAGAAAGTCGACGACTGGTTGAAGTTGCCAAATCAGCAGACAGCACAGGGTCGGCGGAGAAGAACTCGAGAGAAAGATCCGGCCACTCATACTAAGCAGGAGCCGATTTCTAGGAGCAGCGAAGAGCTGAGGAATAGCCACAGCTTGGGGGTAGGCCTTGGGTCACCACCAAGCCCCAGGAGAGACATGGACTTTGTCTTGCCCAACCGTCCAGGCCTCCAATCAGCGGAACGGGACTTCGTAACCAAGAGAGTGGAAGACTGGGGGGCCTACGATCCTCAGCCACAAGACTCGTACATAAAGCACAGAACCCGGAGACCGAGGAATGAAGGTGGCCCGTCAAAAACCAACCTCGTTTCTTTGGCGGCCGCCGGCCTCGGTGCACTTACTGCGAAGAGATTCCTAAGAAATATGGCCGAAAATGACCGTGGCTCCCGAAGGCGCGGCGACAGCTCCGACGACGAATCCGAAGAGGAGGCTGACGCGGGTTCTCCACGCTGGCGAAGCAACGCGAACGCCTCGGGGCCCAGGAAGGGGAGGAGACCAGCGTCACGATCACCGAATGGGACTCGCTCTTCTCGACGCCGAAGCAGTCATCCTGAACGTCCCGAAGAAGACTCTTCGGGGAACAGCGGAAGCGGACTAGACGGCGGCGCATCCCGGTCGCGGCGGCGGCGCAACAGTTCAGAAGTCAGCCACGCGATTCCTCCTACTTCTCCTACTTCTCCTACTTCTCCTACTCCTCCGAGCCAGCTCTAGCAGTCGGCGAAAGCGGCGCTGCTGACGGGCGCGACGGAGGCTTTCCGCGTGAGGAACGAGCCCGGATCCTGGAGCGGGTCCAAAGGCACGCGTATCCTGACGGCGGCGTTCGGTGCAGGTGGGCTCAGCACGGCCGCGGAATCGGATCTTCCGTGAAAATGTAGACGAGCCAGCGTCGCGTGGGTGATTAAATCGGTGCTTTGTGGGGTGAGGAGGGCGAGGGGGGAAGAGGGGGGCTGGGAACCGAATGGTTGCTGTTGATCGGGGGAGCGAGAGGGGAAGGGCCGAGGTAGACAAACAAACCATCTCTTCTATCTCTCTTCTCTCTCTCTCTTCTCCCTTCTCTCTCTCTTCTACCTCTCTTCTCTCTATCTTGCTTCTTTGTCCCCCTAGAGTATATCTAGTTCTGACGGCCAATTCAAGAAGTCACCTACGCAGCTACTTCCACCGCTCCAACGTCCCGTAGCGCTCGCTGCAAGAGCCAGGCTTGTTGGATATTTATATTCACCATGAGATATTGTCTTCCTCAAGAGAGGAAGGAACCTTCTGGGCTCTCGGAGAGATATTCCGTTTAGCTACCTAACTGACCACCTAATCACAAGTCTGCAATTGAGAGACGCGACGGGGGTTGATACACATTAGACGTCTTCCATATTCGAGTTAGCAAAACAACAGATTGCTGAACGACTCAAGCGATTCATCTGCACCCTGCCAACTGCCAAATGTGAAGTAGAGAGCTTAGCAGCTGCCTTCTATTAATCATTTTGTTAGGTGAGCCATCTTTTCATAGGTGTAGCCATTTCAAACCTGCTCCCCAGCCCGCGGTTCCGCAGCCAGAGTCCGCCGAGACTCCGCCTTCTTCTGGTCCTCCTCAAGCGCCCACTCGTTCTTCATACCCGGACAGAAACCCACCGTGGGACCACGACCACCGCTATAGCTGTCAATCGGCTGGCCATCGTCACCATCACCATCACAATCATCATCGGCCATACCGCGCAGGTGCAAGAAGCCATCCTCAAACAACCTCTGCACACCCTCGTACCGACCTAGGATCTCTCCATCCCCGCCGCAGATTTTCCGCATCACATACGTGTGCTTGGTACCGGCTTGGGGACCCGGCTGATGATCTGGGCCGAACACGGGCGCCGGGTGGGCGAGTCGCCTCGCGTACAGACAACCACCATCCTCGCCGGCTGGGCTCTCCACCGCAGCCAGCACGACCCGGAAGGTGAGGTTCCGCCAGAGCGGGCCGGCGTCGTGGGTCTCGACGAAGCGGCGGAAGCTGTTCCGCATCTCCAGGGCTACGACGAAGTTTTCTTCCAGCTCGGTCATATCGCAAGCATCGTGCTGGCCTCGGCACGACTGGTAGATAGGCAAACAAAACAAACTCAAGTCAGCCAAAACGGCTCAGATTTCAAAATCGCCTGAGACAAGGGAGAAGAAGAAGAAGCCGAGGTAAAGACAAGGAAATATGCATGTGCATGTGTGGGAACGGGGGCGGCGGGCGGACCTACCATGGTCTTCTGCCGCACAAAGTCCATCCAATCGACCAGGTTCGAATCGACCGTCACCAGCGGCCGCTGTAGATACGCGCCGGTCAGAGCGCAGAAGCGGTCCGTGTTGCCCAGCACGTAGGTCAAGGTTTCCAGCTTCGGCAGCGGCATGTTGGCGATGACATGCCACTGATCCGAGCGGTAGAAGAAGCGGTCCTCGTGAGCGTCAACGTCGAAGGCGAGGTGTCGGATACGAGCGAGGTCCACTTTTGCAGGCCGTCAGTGAACCAACCCTCAATCAACCAAGCGACCAGGCAACCAAGCAACCAAGCAACCACCGCGCGCCACTTTCCTCCGAGCCGAACACCTTTTGACCTCGATCTCCATCTCAATCTCACTTACGCTGGTCGTGAAAGTTAAGTATCCCAGACAAGCTCAGCATCAACATATCCTTCTCAAGATCAACCCTCATCCCCCTCTGGCCCCAGGCAACAAAATCTTGCGCCGCCGCCGCCGCGTTCGCGTTCGCATCTGGATCGAGCTTCCCCAGCAGCAGCGGCCGGTAATACTTGAGCGCCAGATCCCGAGAATCCCGGCACGCGGCCAGCTGTGGTGGAGGAGGACACCCGGTGCTCGAGACGGCGCAGACGACCGCCGGCCGCAGGTTTTCCGCAAACGTCCGGATGGGCAGGTTGTCGGTGATGTGGACGATGCGGCCGCGCAGGTCCTGAATGGAGGCGAGCCAGATCTGCTGCTGCAGCTCCCAGGGGAGGCGAGGGAAATTGGTGAAGGTGCCGGAGGGCGCCGGTGAGGAGGATACTGCTGGGTCGTTGTCCATTGTTGGGAGAGAGAGAAAGGGAGAGAGAAAGAGAGAGAGAGAGAGAGAGAGAGAGAGAGAGAGAGAGAGAGAGAGAGAGAGAGAGAGAGAGAGAGAGAGAG